TTAAGTGGACTTAATCAGTAAATTTTCCTAAGCCTTGAACTTTGGTCTTCAATGCACTAGTAAATCTGAGATTAAAGGTAAAATTCTGCCTAAAATGACACAGGGCTGTGTGCCCACTCCATTTACCTCAGGCTTTGCAGACTTCTCTGCAGTCAAACCTTAAGGGAACACCTTCCAGTTGACCTGTCTTGCTTGATTTTTAGATACTGGTATTGCTTCCTAGTCTCTCCAGTCACGAACTGATCAAATCTCTGTATTTGCATTCACTTCTTTTTAATTCAGGAAGATGTAGCACTAATTCCGAAACAAAACCTCTCTTGTTTCCATTGTAAAGAATTTAACTTGGCATTTTTCCGCCTATAGTGCTTTATTTAATATATGGCTCGTTGTAAAAGAGACAGTTACAAATAACCTGTACTTTAGGGAACTCTTCCTCACAATGTTCAATGATCATCATTTCCAGATAGGGCACTGAGGATCATGCTGAGGTGGGAAGGGAGTGCAGGATGGCTCAGGTCCAAGCTCCTGCTCAGTGCAGGGTCGGCCAGGAGCTCAGCTGAAGTTGGTCAGGGCTTTGTCCACCCTGAGCATCCCTTGTTTCAGTTTCCCCTCACTGCCTCTCACCCTCCTGGCGTGTACCATCATGAAGGGCCTGGCTCTGTCTCCTCCAAAACATCCTTGCAGATGCTTATCACATCCATCCCAAGAGGAAACGGCCTTAAGCTGCACCAGGGCAGGTTTGGTTGGAGCTGCGGAACAATTCCTTCCCCAGAGGGTGCCCAGGCATTGGAAGAGGCTGCCCAGGGCAGGGCTGGAGTCACCGTCCCTGCAAGTGTTCACACACCGTGGAGACAAGGCCTCAGTGACATGGGTTAGTGGTGGCCTTGGCAGTGCTGGGGAACGGTTGGACTGGATGAGCTTAAAGGGCTTTTCCAACCTGGTTGGTTCTGTAAGCATGACCAGCAGGTCGAAGGAGGGGATCCTGCCCCTCTACTCTGGTCTCGTGAGACCCCACTTCCAGCACTGTGTGCAGTGCTGGTGTACCCAACATAAGAAGGACATGGAGCTGTTGGAGCAAGTCCAAAGGAAGCCACAAGGATGATCAGAGGCTGGAGCACCTCCTGTATGGAGACAGGCTGAGAACATTGGGGCTGTTCAGCCTGGAGAAGAGAAGCTGCGTGGAGACCTCAGAGCAGCTTCCAGTGTCTGAAGGGGGCTACAAGGATGCTGGAGAGGGACTCTTCATCAGGGACTGTAGCGATAGGACAAGGGGTGATGGACTCAAACTGAAATAGGGGAAGTTCAGGTTAGATCTAAGGCAGAAGCTCTTCCCTGTGAGGGTGCTGAGGCGCTGGCACAGGGTGCCCAGAGAAGCTGTGGCTGCCCCATCCCTGGCAGTGTTCAAGGCCAGGTTGGACACAGGGGCTTGGAGCAACCTGCTCTAGTGTGAGGTGTCCCTGCCCATGGCAGGGAGTTGGAACTGGATGATCTTAAGGTCCTTTCCAACCCAAACCAGTCTGGGAGTCTGGGATCCTATGATCCTCTCCCCAGGCTGAGCAGAGCCCCTTCCCTCAGTCTGTCCTCACATGGATCCTGCTTCAGATCACCTTGACCAATGGTGTCTTTCTTGTGTGGAGAGGCCCCCAAAAAGGTGCAGTATTTCAGCATGGTCTAGAGAACTGTAAATGTTTTACTAGTAATTAAGTGACCAGAATGAGACGCATAGGCTCAGAAGAGGAACAGTTACCAGCTGACACAGATTTAAGGGCATGAAAAGTAAAATGTTCAAAGAAACTCTTTCTGAGAGTAACAGAGTTCTGTCAGAATCTTTTGTAACTGGCTGCAGATAATGCACTTATGCATAGAATCATAGAATGGTTAGGGTTGGAAAAGACCTTAAGATCATCTAGTTATGTGTCTTGAGACTTCAGTCCCCACAAATCTCAGTGGAGTGCTTTTCTCTGACCATCACATTCATCCAAACACAACTGGCTCATGGAAGCACACTAGAGACGGACAGTTTGAGAGGATTAATCCCATTTCCTTGGCATATAGAACTTGTGAGTCATTGCCACTACTTGTTTGAGCAGTGTTAAATGTAAGCATCTTAGTTGTATCTATACACCCACACTGGAGTTTTTATATAAGATTCAAATGTGCCTGATTAACATAAGAAAACCCAGTGCATATTTGTGGAGCAGGTACAAGCAGTGTCTCATCTCTTCCTGAACAAAAGTTTAATACATTCCCACAAAGTGACTTAATCCAACTTTTTTGCTACAAATTATATGATTGTAAAGGGATATAAATGAAAGATTAAAAGTTTTAAGGAATGCAGTGTAATTATTAGTTCATATTCCAAAAGGGTAGGAAGTTTACAAACAGAAAAGCTGCATCACTCCCCACCAACAACCAATTTGCACACACTGCATTCCTTTTAAGAATTAATTGTGCTGTAAAACTAAAGGTGAAGTACATACAGCAGGTATGATGCAGGAGTGTGATGTGACGGGACCTGCAGCTCCTGTTTTGACTTGGAGATTTAAGTCAAAGTGAATTGAAAGTAAATGTAAAGGCAAAGGATTTCAATGTTACAGGGCAGAATCCTGTTGAAAAGGGGGAATAGCAGCTTGGCAGGATATGAACGATGCTAGGAGTCCTCAACCCATGCTGTGAATTTTATTACCTCAATTACAATTTATTCAAGTATGTATGGAACAAAGAGAAATTAATTACTTTTTATAGAAAAAGAACAGGAATTATGATAAGTGCTTCCTGGTAAGAGACACCATGAGGTGACAGGATGTGAACTGGACCTGGGTAATAAAACTTGTGTGTGCACACACATATGCTTGTATAGCAGGGACTATATGTATGCTTTTGCATGGCTGTTTGGAAGGTCTCACCTTTTTCCATGGGGATCTTTTGCTCAGCTGAGATTTGGTTGGATTTGCTTGTTCTCATTTGCCTTAGAAACAAAATCTGCGCATTTTTAAGTTCTTTCCCAAAGGGATTTTTCAGGAAGTGTTGGTTAGAGGCAGGATTCCTGATGTGAGAGAGTTCTCCAAGGTTTTGCTAGCTCTTCTTTTTTTTCTTTTCTTGCTGCAACTGTTCCCAGACAGGGAAAGATTGGACTTGATGATCTTAAAGGTCTTTTCAAACCCAGCTGACTCTCTGATGCTGTGATTTGTGGGATGTAGTTCTGTAGCCCTGCAGACAATGTCTCAGGTGTGCAAAGTGGCACAGCTTTCAGAAGCAAAGAAAACGCCAGCCAGCCTTTGAGGCCAGATACAAGATGAAGCTCAAGCTGATCCTACCTTTCATACTTAATGCAGTATGTGCACAAAGTCTGCCTAAATTGAAAAGTTTTGATTTAGCTGAGCTAAATCAAAATCATAACCTTTATTAACCTAACATAATTATAACCTTTATTCGTAAGGTTTTCTTAACAGGACAGGAGCAAGTGATGCCAATTTATGTAGTCTTTAAACCATCTAAGTATACTTACAGCCCACAATGACTCCGTTAGGCAAGAAAGTGGGTCATTCTTGTTTGATTGCTGAAGTGAAGCAGTGGTTACAGGGCAAGAAGTGTGTGTGGCAGCAGAGTGGTTTCCACATACCAGCAATCTGAGACAGGTAGAAGTGATTATCTCACTTTTTCCTGTCATGTTTTCTTCTGAAGAGCTGGTGGATTGTACCCAGTTAGTGATGCTTTGAGCAGGAGGTGGAATGAAGTTACATCCCACCACCCCTTCAGCAGGGATCCCTCCATCAGAAGCTAAATTTGTCAAGTATATGAGTGTTTTAATTGTGGAAACTGGTAAAGACCCAATCAGGTGTGGTGAAAAAGAGCTTGTTTTCCTAAGCACAGAAACCAGCCTTTTGGGAGCGCTCTTTGAAGTTCTTTAAAAAAATACATTCAGGGTTCTTCCAGAAGGAAACGCTGACCATCATTAGCAGCACAGGCTGCTAATTCCGAGAGGTGCTCTTGAACTGCAGTCAAACGTGGCGTTTACATCCATCACCGAGTGTCTGCTGCACCCTTCAGACCATTCCTGGTATGATCACGCATTGGAACAGGCTGCCCAGGACAGAGCTGCAGTCACCGGCCCTGCCAAGTGTTCACACACCGTGGAGACGAGGCCTCAGTGCCACGGGTTAGTGGTGGCCTTGGCAGTGCTGGGAACGGTTGGGCTGGATGATCTTAAAGGGCTTTCTATAATTCTATTACATAAAAAGAACTACTAGTCAGAAATTAACAGCATTCCATTCTTTTGCACCAGCTTTCAGGTGGGAAGAGGGGAAGAACCCTAAATATAGTTCAGCAGATAGTTGGTGAAAGTTTCTGTATAGCAGCAAATGATGTTTTTGTGTTAGAAATGCTCAGTAACACAATGATCTTAATAAGTAAGACAAATGCTACTTCAAGTTACTTCTTTAGCTGTCAGGTTCAATAGCCAGAACTGAGGAAGAAAGATCTTAGAGCAAAGGCTGTGGAAAACCTGGGAATTAATTCAAGCTTCCAGAGTGCAGAGTTTTGGTTAAGTGAATCCAGTGCTGTGATTCAGTTCTTCACATACAAAACAAACAAGCTTTTGTACCAAAATCAAGGCCAGATTGGCCCAAGGTCTTCCTTAATCTACAGATGAGGGACAACACAACTGGATTTTACACACCTGAACACCTGTATATGCAATGTTCAGTGTACATACATGTACGTGTGTGTTCAACAGCTCCCTAATCTCAGCTGGAGTTAAGTACACTCCTTAAAAAGGACAAACAACAACATCTTGGTGAAAACACAGACCTGGTTAGTACACTGACAAGGACAGCTGTAGGGAGAAAATCCAGCCATATAAAGTTACTATTTTGTGTTTGGGATGTAATGTGGGACATGGGTTTAGCTGGTCTGAGGCAGCTTTTTGAAATAGATGAAAAGAGAAGATTTAAAAGGTTATTTCATGCATCTTCTATTATGCATGTTCTTTCTGTAGGGAGAGAAATTAAGCTTCTGAAAAGTGACTCTGTATCCATCTCCCAGTGACACAACCTGCTGAGACAGCAGCAAATAACACGAAGCTTTCATTCAGTGCTACTGCTTTATTATTTCCTCGCACACAAGGTAAGCAAAATGATTAAGGAAGAACAGCGAAACAGATCTGATGGTGCACTTCATTCCATGTGCCTCTTAACAGCAAGGCTCAGAAAGAAGAAAACTTACTCTGATTTTTTTAAGGGGAAAGAACATGTCAGTATTTTTCCAAAACTGTTACATAGTTATTTTCTTTGGGTGAATCTGAATTCTCAAAGCCCTCCCTGCAGCTCTCACATACACGCAGTGCATTGTCAGTGCTGACCTCCCTGTGCTCATTGCACTGCTACTAGCAGAAAAGAAACAAAACCAAGTCAAGTTTCCATTTTTCACACCAGCGTCTCAGCACTCCAAGGAAAAACCCCCCATCAGCCTTGAGGTTAAATCGCTCAGATGTGACAGAAGGCTCCTCCTGTTCACATGCATCCATACATCCATTGCCGTGTAGCGTAATACATCGCTGAGGTATGTTGAGTTTGGCTGTTGTCAGCTTGCTGCCTTTTTTATGTCATTATTTTTAATCCCTATAAGTTTGGGTTTATCATTCCCATTCCTTGGCACTCGATGATGTAGGTATCTTTATTGGGATCATCCTCTTCCGATTTTGTCACAGTAAATTTGGCCTAGAAAAGGATTAGAAATAGACCACTAGTGAAGTTATAACAGACATAAGTTTAAATATTCAGTATCTGATGCCAAATAAATGTATTGCCACGTGTTTATATCTATTACAGCTTTGACTGATTTCATTAAAAACCACTTCAATAAAGGTGGTGAAAATTATCCAACCATGCTAAATGCATTTAACTATAAAGTAGATTCACTTTCTACAGGTAAACCCCCATATAAACATTGTAGGAATTATTTTATCATCCTTGTCCCATATCATGGAAGGGATGGGGAGGGTGTAGCCTTTTATGTCAATGAGCAGCTGGAGTGTATGGAATTCTTCCTGACAATGGATGATGGACCGAGAGCTTGTGGGTCAGGATTAAAGGGAGGGCAGCAGCAGGGTATGTCACTGAGCAGCCTGATGCTCACAGGCCCTTGTCCTCACTGGGAGACTTCAACCACCCTGACATCTGTTGGAAGGACAGTACGGCCCGGCACAAGCAATCCAGGAGGTTCCTCCATTGTGTGGAAGACAACTTCCTTCTGCAAGTAATAGAGGAGCCGACAAGGAGAGGTGCCATGCTTGACCTCGTGCTCACCAACAGGGGAGGGCTTGTTGGAAACGTGACGTTCCAGGGCAGCCTTGGATGCAGCAATCATGAGATGCTCGAATTTGAGATCCTCAGGACAGTGAGAAGAGCCTGCAGCAAGCTCACTGCCCTGGACTTCAAAAGAGCAGACTTTGGCCTCTTCAGGAACCTGCTTCGGAAGGTTCCATGGGATATAGCACTAGAGGGCAGGGGGGCCCAAGACTCTTGGTTGATATTCAAGGATCACCTGCTACAAGCTCTGGAACAGTGTCCTAACAAGAAGGAAATGGGATAGGAAGGCCAGGAGGCCTCCATGGATGGGTAGGGAACTGCTGACCAAACTCAAGGAAAAAAAGACAGGAAGGTGGAAGAGAGGACAGCTGGTGTGAGAGGAGTACATTGTCCAGAAAGCTAGGGATCAGGTCAGGAAGATAGAATTAAATCTGGCCAGAGATGTCAGAGAATGTCAGGGAAGGGCTTCTATAAGCATATTGCCAACAAAAGAGAGACTAGGGATGTTTCCTTCTGGAGTGGGCCCACAAGAGACTTGGCTACCCTGGACTTGGAGAAAAGACCATTCTTGTTCAACATCGTTGTCAGCGACATGGACAGTGGGATTGAGGTGCTCTCAGGAAGCCTGTGATGGCACCGAGCTGTGTGGTGCTGTCAACACACTGGAGGGAAGGGATGGGATCCAGAGGGACCTGGACACACTGGAGAGGTGGCCAATGCCAACCTCATGAAGTTCAACCAAGCCAAGTGCAAGGGCCTACACCCAGATCAGGGCAATCCCAGACACAGCTACAGGTTGGCCAAAGAGATTTAGAGCAGCCTGAGGAGAAGCACTTGGGGATGTTGGTGGATGAGAAAATGAACATGAGCCGGCTTCAGTGTGCACTCGCAGCCCAGAAAGCCAAGTGTCTGCATCAACAGGAGCGTGAGCAGCAGTCGAGGGAGGGAATCCTGCCCCTCTACTCTGCTCTTGTGAGACCCCACTTGCAGCACTGTGCAGTGCTGGTGTCCCCAACATACAAAGGACGTGGAGCTGTTGGAGCAAGTCCAGAGGAGGCCATGAGGATGATCAAGGGCTGGAGCAGCTCCTGTATGAAGACAGGTTGAGAATATTGGGGCTGTTCAGCCTGGAGAAGAGAAGCTGCATGGAGACTTCAGAGCAGCTTCCAGTGTCTGAAGGGGGCTACAAGGATGCTGGAGAGGGACTCTTCATCAGGGACTGTAGCGATAGGACAAGGGGTAATGGGTTCAAACTGAAACAGGGCAAGTTCAGGCTGGATCTAAGGCAGAAGTTCTGCCTTAGAAGTGAGGGTGCTGAGGTGCTGGCACAGGGTGCCCAGAGAAGCTGTGGCTGCCCCATCCCTGGCAGTGTTCAAGGCCAGGTTGGACACAGGGGCTTGGAGCAACCTGCTCTAGTGTGAGGTGTCCCTGCCTGTGGCAGGGGATTGGAACTGGATGAGCTTAAGCTCCTTTCCAACCCAAACCATTGATTCTATGATTCTGTAATCAAGTTCAGCTCACAATGCCTGCTGAACTGCATTGCCTTGTTACTTGATGATACCCGATAGGTAAAACTTCCCCAACTTTTGGACTCACCTTTGTCAGCTGCTCTGCAAAGTGTATAGCCGTCTGAGTATGAAGTGTAATTGGTCCACTTTTCACTCTGGACACCCCCTTTGCTAGTGCCATAAAAATGATCAGCTGAAAGGGAGGGAAGGGTAATTATTAAGTAACTCTTCAGATCATAGGAACATACTGATTTAAAAAAAAAAGTCTATAGATGTAGAAATGTGGTCTGCCAAGTTTCAGGGAAGTTCATCTTGATGCTGAGTGTCAGAGTGATTTAAGGCTCAAGAAGCTTGGAAGTAGTAACTGTAATGCTTATTACAGAAGGCCTGCTAATTTTCCACAGTGGAGTTTGCCACTGAACTCTCATCACTACATTCAACTTTGCTCTCCCCTACCTTCCTGCACCCAGACTGGAGCTTACCTTTGTGGAGAGAAAAGCTCAGGAAAAGGTTTTCGAATTCTAACACTTTCTGGTCACACATTCACCAGCCAGCTATTTAAAAAATACTTGATTTACAAGCAGCACCATGACAAGTACTCGGTAAAGCGTGAGTTATAAACCCTGAGCAGCTCCCATATGTATTGATTTTAGTTGTAGCATGTTTCTACCAATTGTACTGAGCATACTTCAGGAAAAGCAGGATGGGGCCAAGACCTAAATGCTTCGTATCATACTACACAACAGTAACTTGCAGCCAGGTATTTACAGCTGAGAGGTAATGTCAGCCAACCTACAGCAGCCCAAGATTCTCATCAGGCTGTGCTGTTGAAAATAAGAAAGTGCAGGGTCTTAATTCCCAAATGAAGTTAGGTGAGCAAGACAAACAGGAACACCCCCTAGATATTCTGTTCTCTAACAGCTGCACTTAATATCATTCTTCATGTGTAACCAGGAGCTATTTTTATCCCCCTACAAGGAATGCCAAATAAAAGCAAATTCCTACCTCTTTCTTCCATACCTAGTAAGAGTTACAGGAAAGGAAAATTCAAGGGTGTTGGTGCAAAGCCAGGAGCATCTGTGGTTCCTAAGAAGTGTATGTTATTTGCTAATCCCAGTGATGTTGTGACCACACCTGGAAACCTCCTAAAACTTCTAATTATCAAACAATGATAATTAGAGATAGAGTTCACATTTCTATTACAGAGAGAATCCACATTTCATTCTTTCTCTGTTCAGATTTATATTCTTTACAAGTAATACAGACATGTTCTTGCTACTGCAACTTCATGTAAACACACAGAGGAGCCTTACTTGATCTTGCAGAGAATCATCCACAGTTCCACCATGTTTAAGATTCCTAAGCAGCATCTCGGCTGCTTCAATGCCAACCTTGTCAGAATTCTTTCCTAACAGGCAAATCCAGGAGATTAGGATGGTGCCAATCGTTATTTGCCATTTTAAAAATACAGAAGGAGAAAAAAAAAGCAAGAATTTATCAACTTTTTAAACCTTATTTCTATGCTTTTGCCTCAAGTATCTGCTTAAAAAAACCTCCCATCTGAAGATGACATATAGTTCATACTTCTTAAGCACTGGAAAGAAAGTAGCCCCACTCAGAGAAACATTTTATTCAAACTACTTTTTTAAAGTCCAGAAACATTTTCTACTCAGTGATCCTTAACAGTCTATTCTCATAAAAGGTAAGTTGAATAATTTTATTGTCCTGTTACTGTGTAGAAGCAGCTTAGTAGAAAGTGTAAGATTCTATTTACTATAAATGATTAAAATCCACTCATTTCCACTGTCCTTTATTACTAAACAACATCCATTTAAAAATGCAACACTCAAAGCATCAGCTATTTGAATAGCTTATACTTGGGATTCCTATTTTTTAATGAAGTTAAATCACAAAGAGGTATACTTCATGGAATTCTTACCTCTCTTGCCAAGTGATGACCCAGCTAACAAACAACCCGTTGAAGTCTCTGCAACAACACTAAGCAGAAACCCCAGAATCAATATTAAGAACAAAATCACTTGCATTACACTTTATCAGCTATGCAATCACAAGCTAGCTAATCAACCAGTAAGATTACACATATCAATAGGGAGTTTGGGCTCATCTTACATGATTCCACTTCCAGTCCCAAAGGCTTGATCATCAGGTTCTCGAACAGGCTGAATGTTAATATAAAGATCTCTGATTTCTTTTCTGATGCATCTCACTGCTGCTGCTGACATCTCTTTCGCCAGCTAATAAAAGGTAAAAACAGTCATTAAATTACGTAACTAATGTTTTTT